CGCCGGACACGAGCGCTGTAGGTCAGAAAATCACAGTCAGCCTTTCTTTCTTCGCTCTCCATTGTATTTCCGACAATGCCGCCATTTTACTATCATCATCCCCTTCCATCTCTTGTCGATAACTCCCACGCAAAGTTGCAACCCGTTTCTTTCATCGGGGAAGAATGGCGGAACGACAAGACACCAGGAATTTTGCAAATCAAAAGCAGCTCGGGATCAGGAGTATAACGTACACATGATGGGCGGTTGGCGCGACGGGATCGCGGTTGATTGTCGACAGCGAGAGGGGTGAGAAGGAGGTGAAATCGATGGCCCGACTTTGCTTTGGACTTTGCTTCGGCTCCCGTTGTGGGATCGGGTAATCACGCTAGACCTCTTTGGGCATTTGTGCGCTCGCTTACTCTGTTAGCGCTAGTACTGGAATAGCTAGATCGGCCTTTGGGGATATGGCTCATGTGACTATGTCGTAATATTACGGTTATTGGTGTACGGTTTCATTACGCTTATCGATTGCTTTTCCCTTGCTCTCCATACTCTCTGCTTATCAGTCACGGTTGCTCCATTCTGTATTCTCCGCAATGGGGACATTTTGGAACGATCTCTATGCGCGTATGCTAATGCTTTATCTTGCTCAGCCTTGGTGTATTTGATGAGACACTAATTCTAGTGAATGTTCTTATCTATGTTGTCGTGCTTTACCATGTCTCGCATCTCTATGTGTTGGCTCTTTAGGAAAAGAGCATACACAGGATGCTCTACATTCACTCAGTCATCCTACACTGGAATATGCCATCCTTCTGCCATACTACTGCATTAACTTGCCCTTTGGCTGATTTAGCTAACCACTGAACTGCTCAAAATAGCCATAGACTTCTGTTGCCATGGCTTCAGAGAGAACAGCTCAACCCCATCGCAAATAAACAGACTTGGATGTCATCGCTGTTGGAGCAACCAAATTGCTATGCATATCTGCATGGATGGCTTTACTTGCTTCAAGATGACTCTCGACATGGTCTATGTCTAAGCATCCGTCAAACATTGAATGCTGTTAAACAAAGATGGCACAATCTCTTTATGCCTTTGTCATGGGACGAATGCGCTTGTTTCGCTTTCAAATAATCTTAATTGACCTTATTTGCTCTTTGTTCTTACGCCGTATATATATGGTATACTGAACAATCGTGTATGCACTATGGTCGTCTTAAAATATATCCCAGGGTATCATGATGCCCTTGTTTGCAGAAGATGCTTATCTTTTGAGTCTCCTCGACTTGATCTACCGTTTTATTCCATGGAATAGCTGGTGGATATCATCCATGCCTGGAAGAAAAGCTGTATGGCATACTGCTTTTTTACGCTGACTACCCTTACTGGGTTTCCCTGACTCGCTCACGCAGTTCTATCCTTTTCGAAGCGCAGCTAACCTTAACAATATACCATGTCGTCAGAAAATAGTGACACTAGGACAGTGAAGGAGGAGGATGATTTTAAATATAACCCTGAGCTCAACTACCCCATGGTCAAGCTGGCTGACCTACCAGAGCCTCCCAAGAATTGGCGAGTCTGTGGGCGAACGGCAGAAGAAGCTTCCAAAGCTCGAAAAGCAACCAGCGAGGAAGCTAAAAAGTGGGTAAGATACCACAGTTGGGGTATCGACATGGGAGTGAAGGGCGACTTGACCAATCTCAGGTGCTTCAAAGTTCTATGGAAGCTCTTCTACTACCAGCAGGACAAACATAGACCTCAAGATTTCGACCAGATAAAGGACTTTAAGACGAGAGATGCTGGCCCTCGGCTCTTGCAATGTTCGGTGGATGTCCCTGACCTCCTTCCCATTAGCAGGTACTATCCTCATCCACCCCCTGCCACTAGGCTTCCGGCGGAAGGGTTCCACAGGCCCCTCGATGCTCTAGCGAGCAGGCCAGATAGTCACATAGAACAGATGTTATATCCGGTATTTGGAGTACCGAAGGAAGTCAACAATTTTCCTGAAGAGATCGAGACAGCTATCGCTCAGACCACAGGCAATGGCACATGCAACAGAAACCAACTCAAGATACGTCTCCCTAAAGTCATGGCCCGATCCGTTATGGAGACCATTGAACGCGCTGTGATGCAATTTGCCTATGAAGATCTCACTCGAGATTGCAGCGCTGTTGCTCAGGATGGTCAGGTACACCTGACTGCGACGGCGGAAGAAGATCTACGGCAAGCCAATATTGGATCCTTTCCCGCAACATCTCACGTGAAACTTGCTCTAGATCCTGACAATAGCGATAGACTAGTGTTCAGTGCGGACGGTGATAAATACCCTTACAGGGGCCGTGGACCCGTGTACCGCAACAATTCTTCTGGCATCGACAGTATCATTGTCGTCGGCAAGTTGCTCGACGCCGGATCCACCGTACTGGATCGCAAAGGTCCCGAATGGCGCGGGCGCTTCACCAATGTGGAGAAGGCCTTTATTGAAGCCACTGATGTCAATTGGGATCTCTGCTCAAGAGGTGATTCTCGAGATCGCTTCTGGGCAGTGATGGCAGCGGAGACCGAGAATGTCGGAGTGGGTGTTCAATCTCCTCTCCTTGACATGTGGAATGTGTCAACAGAACACTTCGACCAGTTCTTGTTTACGTATGATGAACAGACTACGTTTTGCTCCCCGTGTACGAACAGGATTACAAATGCTGCATACCAGAGCGCAACTGTGGCACCGCCTACATGCCCAGAAGATATGAAGGGAGTATCGATGCAGCAGTTGGTTTCCCGCTCATTTGCATCGGAGTACATCAGTCGCTGCGGCAAATGCCAAGATAAAGTTGTGAAGTGTCGGAGAATGCTGCATGGCCTACCAATGCGCTTGACTGTAACTCTTGATGGCAGTGTGCCCGTCAAGAAACACACCGGAGATATCTCCTTCGACTATATTACGAACGATGGCCAACGCGGAACAGCGGCATACCGCTGGCTAGGCGGGATATATTGCAAGGACGAACATTATCGGGTCTATTGGAATGACACTAAGCGGGGAGAAGTCGATACAGGCCAAATTCAAATGTATGACAGTACCATGCTTTCGGGCATCATCGTGGGAGGTATCGCCCAAACACACAGGGACGACAAAGTACCCGAAACATGGTGGAAGAACAAGCCTGTGCCGCTCCTCGTCTACGAACGCATCATGAATCCAGGCGATGAGGTCATGAATGTGGCCTTGCACACGTTAGGCGACATGGTCAAGGTCAGAAACCAGCAGAAGTTGCTCCTCCAGGGGCATATTTCCTGGACCCCCTCAGAACCCCCAAGAGCTCGGGCAGGCTTCCCGTGGAGGCGACTCATCGATCGAAAAGAAGATCGCTTCCACCTGGCGTCAGGCGCTTATGATCCGAAAAGTCAAGGCCAGATATCGACGAAGCCTTCAGGCGTTGATCGTCATGCCAACATACCCGGCCCATCTTCAGCTGGCCCGTCGAAAACAGATGCCGGGTACTTGACGTCTTCGGCAACCACACCAGAAACCCAACTTGAGATAGGAAGAATATCGCCGTCGTTGTTTAATGCTCCGACTGCTTCTATGTTTGCTGAAATCTCGCCTCTCCTCGCACTTGCCAAGACCCCTTCGTTGTCGGGCCTAGAGTCTATTATAGAGGACACCGCGCTGATCAATGAACAGCTCAATGGACCACAACAAGGACAATATAGCGCGCCCAACAATGTACAAAATAATACACCGTACGTTACACAATCCAGCTCGCAGCTCCAGGCGGGGTATAACATACAACGGACTACGCAGCCGAGTGGAAAGCAACATGGCCAGTCTCATGGGCAATACAACAACACAAGGACGAATACACAGCACCAGCGCCCGTATAACACACATTACATTACACAGGCAACTGCGCGGCAACCAAATAGATATAACGCACGACAGCATGCGCAGTCAAACGGACAGCATCGGACGCAGTACAATACGCAATACGGCGTACAGCCAAGTACCCATCCTCATGAACCGCATGGCACACTCGATACTTCATTTGACCTGCAAGACATCATGAACGATGGAATTTTCCAGGATTGGACTACTGGAGGAATCGATGACTTCAGTCTGAGTATTCCAGAACTCAGCAACAGCGTATTTGCTTCACCAAAGCCGAATCACGCTAACAGTACGAACATCGCTCCAGCTCCCGTCGAAAACAACTTCAAATATTCTCATCAGGACCGCAACAATGGGAACTCGATGCCACAGTACATTGATCCTAGTGTTTTGAACACGGTCCCGCAGAATTCATCATCACTACCAGAACAGGTCCAGCCGAGGCCTATGGACAGCCGAAGGCCTGCGTCACACGTTGCACCTGCGGCGGATGCTCGATGGCACAGCCACGGGGATTTACTAGCTGGCTCCTACATGTCGGCGAACCAGACACCGCAAGGGTCAAAAAGAAAGAGAGTCGATGGGGCAGAGGCCCGGCGGTGTCCGCCGAATTTGCGTTAACATCATCTTTTGACATGTTTTTTCCTCAGAAAACCTTATGTATCATTCATGACTTTGATCCTTCTTTGTTCCTTCTCCCATTCTTCCTGTTGAATCATCATTGTAGTATGGATTTTTTTTTGTGCAGCGAAAAAGTGGATTGTGTAGAAATAGTATTTATTAGAACCAAATAACTATGATCCAGCAACATCCATATATATATCTCTACACCACAACACACCTCAAGTCACCACATCACCCAACCTATCCACGCCACACTGGTTCCAACACTAGAATTTATTTAGGGAGAAAGGGGGCCACGAAGTGGCATTTGCTGCCAGGGGAATTCTTTTCCCGTTTAAGCGACATGAAGTAACCGTTCATTTCCCCATGCATTAAATTTATTTGTTGTCGGGAGGGCCGACCAATGACGGGACGGTTAAAAGTCTGTGCGATCAGCTTCCCCGCATTTTCTACGTGCCTCCGGAGTACTCCAGTTTCTTTTCCTATTATGATCTCTATCCCTTCCATCTCTCGTCTCTTTTCCTCTCCTTCCCAGTCTTCTCATCCTCAACACTATCCTACTTTCTTCATTGTTCTTCGGCTTCGTCATAACCAGTGATCCCAATGGAAGTACTGTTCGCAAACTTCTAAATCTATTAAACGACCCGTTCTCTATATTCGATCTTCTATCTATGTACAATGAAATAACAGACAAATACGGAACCGAAATCTACAACCTGGCCATCGGACAACCACCACCGCGTTGTGATAGCCCAGTTGGGACGTTGCTTTTCTTTGGTGCGGAGACGTATCCGCCCTTGACATTGTCCGAGTTGATGATGGCTCCCTTGGCGTCACGCTTGATGCCCAGCTCAATCAGCTTAGCAAACACCTTGGCGAAGTGATCGAAGAAAAGTTCCTTGTCCTGCGCGTATCTCTCCACCCAAACGCGGAATTCCGGATCGGTGATCAACGCAACGTCGGTCGGCAGCATCATCAGCTGCTCATCGCCTTCCTCCGCATCGGGGTCCACATATACAAACTGCGCAATACCATTCTCCAGAGTCTTAGGCGTCCACTCAAGCTTAAGGAGCAGGTTATAGAACTGGTTTGAGAAGCGGGTCGGGTTGTTCACCCAGGGGCCGTGGAATCCACTCCGGTCCATGTGGCAGCGGCCCATGTTGTGCCCTCCCGCCAAGGCGACAATTTCCTGGTCGTTGAAGCCCATCCGGTTGAAAATGAAACGCAGGTGCTCGGCACCCTGGGCAGCGTCGGGCAGACGACCACGTGGTGGCACCTTCGAGTCATCAACCAAATCTGTACGGCCTGGCTTCCACGCCACTTCGGGTCCGCCTAGCTCTTTGATCGCTACTACGCCTGCTAATGTCCATAGATCGGAGTATGTGATCCAAGGGTGTCTCTCCTTTACTGGTTCGAGGAAGGCCCGTCCATGCTGAAGACCGGCGTTGGCTGGGTCGCCACCCTCTGCCTCATACCGCATGCCTGCACCATTGGAGCCGCCTGTGTCCGATTCTGCGTCGTATGTGCCTGCGGAGTGCCTAGAGATGATGTGTCAGGTAAGTCGTCCTTGGAGGGAAAGCAGAACGCGGAAGGGAAAAAAGGAAGGAGAAAAGAAAAAAAAAAACTAACCATGCCAGTCGAACAAATACAGGTCCTGCGCTCCCATCGTCGTAGCCCGGCTTCTTCAGTTGGGCAACAATGTCCCTCCGTACGGCATCATAATCCCCTGGTGTGCTCATCTCGGCCGATAACTTGTCTGGGGTAAAAGTCGGGTATAGGTGTGGGTCAAGAAAAGTCTCAGAAGGTGAAATTTTTCAACGCGCTCTGGTGTGAGACAGAGATCCGAGAAGTAGCGACAAAACTTGGTTATAGAAAGAGGAAGAGATTGAAGATGTTGTCCAGGAAGAAATATGAGAGAAGTCTTTCGGTCCAGGAGGCGATGTCTTGCTGGTCGCACATGAAGAAAGGCAATGAGTGGACCCGCGGCACGAATCAATAATTTGACCGACGGTATCAAATGCCGAGGTTCATTCGCTCGTCCCTTTCAGCATCCTCTACGGAGTACAATGGGGCACTCCCCACGGAGAACCGGAGTATACTAAGCTATGAGGATCATGGATTTTCGATGGGAACAATTAATCGCTGCTACTTCCGGTCCACCCCTACTGGTCTACATAAGTGTATGAGCTGAGGCGCATTCACCCCAAGAGATTTTTTTTTTTTGGTACAACTCGGACCTTGCGATAACGGAACAAGGGACCTTCAAGCGATAAATAATTTACAGCGTCTTTTCCCTGGCCGGTTTTCGTGATCAAATCCTGCCAGCATCCCGACCAAAAGCCGCCGATACGAAGAACCTCGGAACTTGATTTCCCGACCAGCGAGAACTGGTCCCTGTCTGCCTATCAACTGCTCCATTTCTTCCGTCGCCATAATTTTGCGCGCGAGTTGCGTCAGATAAGCCTGTGATCGCTGTCAGCATTCTGCTTGTTTCGTCCTTATTATTAAAGCTGGTTCTGGAACGTTGGAAGCATCACAAGATGGATCCCGATACCCAGTTAAGGTTGTCGCCACTCGTCCCGCTGCTGCTGATAACGACGAATTCTTGACTGGCTATCGGCCAAGATCCACACATGTGAATGGTTTCCGTTACCGTATGCCCTCTATATTGGGGTCTCACCATCCACTTCATTTCCACATTTCCTGTTGGAAGAAGAGATTTTGTGGCACAGCCAGTGTCTACAACCACCTATTCGCAGGGATTTCCAAAAGGATTTCGTGGATTTAACTGTCCCAATTGCTTACAAGCGAGATGCAGAGGAAAGCACCTTCATCTATTCGTTTCTGCTAGAGTCGCATCGGTCTCTCTGCCCAACAGCTTCTCTCTTTCGACCCGTGACCTGGACAACTCATATTTCCATCTCAGTGCCGCCAACTCCCTTGTCGCACCATCAAAATTGCCGCTCACCATCTCCAATCGCTCCTTCCACTCCCTGTAGGTTACTTCGGAGTGTTTCACTAGGCCTTCGACTTTCCGGCGCATCCACTTTCTCTCCGCTCTCCAACGTCGTTCGCGCTGACGGTACCGCTTTAAGTCTTGCTGCAGCCTTCGTTGTTCCAATCGCTCAGTGTTCCTAATGCTGGTGATGAAATTATGAATGGGCCTCGTATGTCTGGCGCTCAGCGTGCCGCAAGAAAGCTGCTTGGAGATGCAGATGAAAGCGACCGAAATATCGTCTGCGATAGATCGTAGGAGGCTGGATTTTGAGACCGATGAGAGACCTTCTAGGTTCTGAAGGCGCATTGCGCAAGAGCCTGGAGTAAAACATGGCTCTGTGGCCGACATTGTAATGGCTTTCCTATCAAAGGTGTGATTGTAAACTCCAGATGGAAGATTAATCAACAAAAGCTCGTAGACTACAAGGTAATATGCAGGTAGGTTTCATAAATAGTATGTGTAGAAACTAACCGCACCTGTAGTATATCTAGGATAGAAGGAATGGATGATGTTGATAAGATTCATTCTACGTTGATCAAAGCTATGTCTTTCACTTTATCTTTGTTTGACCAGCTAGGAGCTGCATGGACAAGCTCAAAGAGCTTAGCACGCATCGATCATTCAACAAAGACGCTTCTACTATACATGGTGATAAGCAAAGAGAACAATCTCATCCGAAGCAAACACTTAAGTAGTGGCATCAGAAGAGACATCAAACATATCACCACGCTCTACAATTTCTCCCCGCGCAGCACAGCTACAATCGCATCACCCACCTCTGTCGTACCAGCCTTTCCTCCCAAATCTGGCGTGCGGATGCCGGAGTCTAGAACAGTTCGTACGGCCGCTTCGATTTGTTGTGCTTCACGCTCCATATCCAGAGAGTACCGGAACATCAGTGCCACGCAGAGAATCATAGCAACGGGGTTAGCGATGTTCTTGCCGGCGATGCTATCAACCTTTAGCTGGAACTTCGGGCAATGGCTCTGTTGAGATCTTAGGAAACCATGAGAAAACTTACGTCGGCGCCGATCCATGTGTAGGTTCATACAACCCATTGGTCCTCCTCCGGGTCTCAGATGGCAGCCCATCCAAGCTCGCACTCGGCAATACGCCCAACGTTCCAACTATCGAACCCGCCTGGTCAGAAATCATATCGCCGAAAGTGTTATCGGCCAGAATCACGCCGTTCAGCACGCGCGGGTTCGTCGCCAGAATCAACGACGCGGAGTCCGCTAGCTGATGTACCAGTTTCACCTGCGGGTACTCCTCCGTCATGGTTTTTTCGACGACACGGCGCCAGAGCCGTGAAGATGCGAGCACGTTAGCCTTATCCAGTGAGATGACGGGCCACGGGGGATCGTGGCGCAGAGCCAGTTCAGCAGAGAGACGGGTGATGCGCTGAATTTCGGAGGTTGAGTAGGCCCATTCGTCCATTGCTTTTGCCCCATTAGCACCGCGCTTCGATAGATAGTAGTAAAGAGGGAAAGGGAGGGTATATAGAAGTGTAGAGATCCCGTACCATAATCATCCTCCTCCACCTTCCTGCCAAAATACGCTCCTCCGCAATTCTCTCTCACAACCACGAAATCCACGCCCTCAATGATCTCCTGTCGAAACGGACTAAACTCCCTCGCAACACTCCTACTCGGCGAATCCGCCGAGCAGGGCCTCAAATTGGCATAGATATCCATCGCCTTCCGCAGCTGTAGCAACCCACCCTCCGGCCCATCCAGTCCCCTCCGCATATTATCCCATTTCGGACCGCCAACGGCAGCGAACAGCACCGCGTCCGAAGCGAGAGCGGCTTCCTTGACGGCATCCGTGATTGATTTGCCGTGGAGATCGATGCTGCATCCGCCTATGAGTTCCGAACGGGTATTGAATTGCACAGCGGATGTGTTGAAGGCAGAGAGCACTTTGGTGGCTTCGGCCATTATCTCGGGCCCGATGCCATCGCCAGGGAGGATGAGGATGTTGTAGGTTTTTGCTATGGTCATGTTGGTCGTTTGTTTTGATTCAATTATACTAGATAGGTTTGGTCGTGCGTGATATGTTTGTGGAAGTTACTGAAGGAATAAATCGATTACTCTAGCGTATATAATTCAAGGATCCTTTTGTCCACTCCATATTGCTCTTTATATGGATCTGTATAGGGTTCGGCCAATAGACCGATTTGCGGGGAAGAAGACGTCTCCTCACGGCGTTGCCCCGATAGACGGAGGAGACTGGTTGGTGTTGATCTGCTTCTTGGTCTACTGTATTAGAGTTGGGACAGTATCCGACCGAATATACCTTCAAACCCGAGGCAACGGATCGCATATAGGATATGACCATTATATTTTCCTACCAATATCGTAACGGTAATAACCATAGATCTCCACAAGATGATCGTAACCATACTTGAAGTCCTCCGTAAGTATGGATAGTATCCGGAAAAGGAAATAGGGTAAACCCTCCCCCCTCATGTTTGCACCGTTTGTCTTTCAATTTATCAGATGAAGATGCAGATTTCCATGACCGACTTCACTGGAATACCACCTCGCCATTCTTCGCAACAGTGAGATAATATCCGTCATCATGGGCCAGATCGAAGAACTCCCCGACGACTTCGACGAGTCGCTCAACTTGAACAAGCAGACTCCCGAGACGAAAGATGCCCCGCCGGCCAAGGAGGTAGAGACCTCATTTCCGCTGAATAAAGAGCGAGCGAAGGAATTCGAAAAGGAAAATCCAGACGCGCCGAAGATGCCGCCTCAAATGGAGGCTGTGCGGTCGCATACGACGGACGAGCTCTTGGACATGATGAATAAGACGCCGTTGTTCATGACGGATATTGACAAAGCGGGGGATGAGAGTATGTTTCTCTTTCCAATCTTTGTTGTCACTATGTGCTTGATGGGTGTTCGGGGGATGAATTGCTACTGAGGTGGGCTTGTGCTTACGTTTTGACTACGTATAGATGGCGAGAATATCTTTCTGGATGCCCTTCAGGCGATGCAGAATGAGGGTACGCGCGCAGAAGTCGCGCAGAACTTCCGCGAACAGGGTAACGAAGCTGCGAAGGAGCTGCGATGGATCGATGCCAAGGAGTTTTATACTAAGGCTATTACCGTTATCTTCGCGAAGGAGGATAAGTGGGAGAAGCCGGAGGATCTGGATGCGGAGCAGAAGTTGCTGCGCCAGGTCGAGGAGGCTTCTCATATTAATCGCGCGTTGTGTAATTTGGAGTTGGGTAGGTTTTTTTTTTTTTTTGCTTTTTTCCCCCTTACTGTTGTCATGGGCTGTGTGAGAGTGCTAATTTTCTAGGCAATTACCGGCAATGTACGCTTGACTGTGCCTCGACTCTCAAGTTGAATCCGAAGAATATCAAGGCATTTTATCGTTCCGCTATGGCTTGTCTCAAGCTCGATAAGGTCGCTGAGGCTGAGGATGCGGCGAAGCGGGGCTTGGCTATCGACCCGAATAATAAGTCTCTTCAGACGGCGGCGGAGAAGACCGCTGAGCGCAAGGCTGCCCTTGAGCGTAACTCTTCTAAGCGCAAGGCAGAAGAAGAGAGAAAGAGTAAGGAGAAGAAGTTGCTTGATACTGCACTGAAGGCCAGAGAGATCAGGACCCGCAAGACGGACCATCCGGCAGACCTGGAAGATGCAGTGATTCGTCTTGTTCCCGATTCTCTCTCTCCCGAAAGCACCCTCGAATTCCCTGCGGTGTTCCTCTATCCCATGGATGCCCAGTCGGACTTTATCAAGGCGTTTTCTGAGATGAACAGCATTGAGGACCATCTCGAATACATCTTCCCCTTGCCTTGGGATACAAAGAACGAATATACCATTAAGGGCGTGGACTGTTTCATGGAGACTGCGACTGGAGGATTGATCAAGGCCGGAAAGAAACTGCCACTTCTGCAGATTCTTAGCGGCAGCAAGGTTGAAGTTGTAGATCAATTAGTGAAGTTTTTCATTGTGCCGACCGCGAAGAGTGGCCAATTCATTGCGGAAATGAAGAAGAGGAAGCAGGGTTGAGAATGCTCGTCCCGTTCTTCCAGGAAGCCATAGGGCAACTCCTCCTCGAGACTTGAGGCATCAACGAGAAGGCTCTTAGGCTGTGAATGCAGATGGCAGACCAACATCTACTCTGTGGAGTTCTTCCGCCAACGACCGTCAGTGATTCACCACATGGACACGGGTATATTTGCCCATGCAGCTCTCAGGCATGAATATGGACCTCCACTATTCCAGCTCGGGCCCACCTGTTCATAGGAGCCATGCATTGCGTCTGACTGTGCTCCAAACATGCGTCGGGAACATACACCGAATGCCGTTATGATGATGATAATATATCTGTTCGTACAATATTAGAATAGAACGAATGCCATGAATAGAACCTCGGCTGACCGAAGTGCCGCTAACATCGGGCGTCAATCCATAATAGTCGAGAGGATCCCATCCCCTTAATTTACTTTTCGAAACCGACATTTATCCGTGACTCTAGATAATGGAGCCATCCCTATCCATCGACCTAAATCCACTATTGAAATCCAGAACAACGCCATTGAGGAGAAATAACCGCCGGTCCATGCAGAATCCCCACTTGATTTAGGCTATAAGAACTGAAAATGCCCGAGACATTCTGGCATCCGAGTCAGTAACGGCGTGGAACCGTTTCAGATTGATTAACGGGGACACTTGATCATAAATCACACACGGACCAACAGCCGAGTCCATGAATGAAAATGAACCACTGAAGAAATCCGGCATCAATTCTCCGCGGTGGAGTCATGCTATGCCGATGAAATGAAACTGAGTCTAGGGCAGGGGCCATCCATGGTTTAATTTAGCTTGCTTCAGCTTGGCTGCGAGGGTCGACTTAGTCTAAATGGGAATTCGTATAAGTTGTTTGGAGGCGACCTCGACATAAGCATTTCTCCTGTCAACTCTTTTCACTCCTTAAGCTGTGATCCTGGTGATCAAATTGTCCAACTCTTACCTTCTTTTATTCTTTTCGTCGATTAATAATTGCCATGCGTTTCCAGCCTTTGACCACGGCTCTGGCTGTGGGTGTCTCTGCCCATCTGTTCGTTTTTTCCCTGTTATCCCAAACACAACTTTGAATCTCAAGCCGGGTGAAGATATTAACGAAGAATTAAAGTGCCCAAGCAGCTGGTCTGCATGACGCCGCCGTCGCAAAGGGTCTCCTCTACTTCGGTACTGCAACCGATAACCCGGAGCTCACCAACACCTCCTATGTCACCCAGCTGAACAATACGGGTGACTTTGGCCAGATCACTCCTGGAAACTCACAGAAGGTGGGGCCTAGTCGCCTTCCTGAAGGATTTAAAGAATATGAATCGCTGATGTAATGGAATGAAACAAATAGTGGGACTCAACCGAGCCGTCTCAGAATGAATTCTCCTTCACCAAGGGCGACGTCATTGCCGATCTGGCCGACGCCAATGACCAGAAGTTGAGGTGCCATAACTTGGTTTGGCATCAGCAGCTGCCTAACTGGGGTATGCTTTATTTTACGTGTGCCTCCGTGATGGTAGATATCGGATGCTAATGAAGACAGTCTCGAGCGGGTCCTGGACCAACGAAACCCTAACTGCCGTTCTGCAGAACCACATCACAAACGTTGTGAAGCACTACAAGGGACGATGCTACGCATGGGATGTAGTGAACGAGGGTACTGTTCTTATCTCCTAGCACGCCTATTGAGAGCAAAGATATTGACTCGAGACAGCCCTGGCCGACGACGGCTCCTACCGCGACTCCATCTGGTACAAGACCATCGGCGAGGCCTACATTCCTATCGCCTTCGCAGCTGCCGCTGCCGCCGACCCAGACGTGAAGCTCTACTACAACGACTACAGCATCGAGTGGGGCGGTTCCAAGTCCACCGGCGCCCAGAACATCGTCAAGCTAATCCAGTCCTACGGCGGTAAGATCGACGGTGTCGGTCTGCAGGCCCACTTCACCGTCGGCCAAACCCCCGCCCGTAAGGACCTCGCCAGCAACCTGAAGGCCTTCACCGACCTCGGCGTAGAGGTCGCCTACACAGAGGTCGACGTGCGTATGAAGACCCCAGCGACAGACGCCAACCTGCAGCAGCAGAGCACCGAATTCGCCAACATCGTCGGTGCTTGTCTTGATACCGAGGGCTGTGTCGGGGTTACCATCTGGGACTGGACCGACAAGTACTCCTGGGTGCCCAGCACATTCCCGGGCTACGGTGCTGCCTGCCCCTGGGATGAGAACTTTGAAAAGAAGCCCGCTTACCAGGGCATTTTGGAGGTTTTGGGAGGTGAGGCTTCTGCTTCTACTTCTGTCTCTGCTTCTGCCTCTGCACCTGAGACCACTTCTGCCGTCTTCTCTACCACTGCTGCTGCCGTCACTTCTTCTTCTTCTTCTACTACTACTACTACTTCTTCCAGCACTAGCACCAGCATCAGCCCCAGCTCTTCTTCCGCTATCATCTCTTGCACTGCGGCCGCTTCTTCTACTTCTTCCAGCTCTCCCAGCACTACTTTGGCCACCTCTTCCAGCACTTCCTCCGCCATTCCTTCTGCTTCTTCATCGGCTACGCCAACTGACTTCATCCCTCAGCCTAGTTCAACCGCCACCGGCCGCGTCAAGGTCTACTACCAGTGCGGCGGTATTAACTACCAGGGTAGCACTGAGTGCGAGGAGGGTCTGACCTGCAAGAAGTGGAATCCTTACTATTCGCAGTGTATTAAGGCCTAGGGTGTATATATGCCTGAGAAATTGGTTTGTTGAATTTACCAAAGTTTATCAGTTATTCTTACTGTAATACTCGATACACTCGTCGATTCATACGGCTAGTATAGTTTCATAAGTACCGTAATCTGAATATACATCTGAAATAAATCTTTAACACTTATAAAGGTTATATACTTTGCTATCAGTAGCTACAATAGGAAATACAACCCTTCTTCCAATCAATCAATCAATCATGATTTCATAGACCAATCCCACCCAACCCACCACAACAGCGTTCATAGAACCAACCAACCCAGTGGCAAAACCCAAACCAAAACCCAACATCTCAATAATACCAGACAAACATCAAACCCTCCGACCAGATTACAAACCCCTATAAAAGCAAAACTACCAATAAACCTCCACGAAACCCCAGTCACCTATTCCTATAGAGCCGGGATTCCAACCAACTAAGTTGAACTAACCACGTGCCAAGTCCAGCACCCTATACCAGACTCACCTATTATGACTCCTTCCTGGAGAACGAGTGGATCACACCTTCAGCCAGGAAGGCACTATACATAGATCCGATTTCCCAAAGATTAAGTTCAGGGTTTTCTACACCGGGAAGCCAGCTGGCAATGCGGGATGGTCCGATGGATATACTTAGTACAAATATAGTCTACTTGGCGGTTTATTGCATGTACTTAGCCTGTTTAAGGAGGTAGGTATGTAGCTATACATGTAGGTAGGTAGGTAGGTAGGTTGCCTCGTGCTCGGACCCCCCCTGTTTCCTGGGACGGAGATCTGTGCACGGCACTTATAGATTTATAGATAGATAGGGGGGATATTAGGTTACCTACTTGATAGTACCAGGATCTGAACGAGCTTAAGTTATACTATATAATGGGTCCAATGGTCAATGTCACGATGGAATGCAAGATACCACTAGAATAGGGTTATATTTTAGGTTATGTTTTAGGGAGGCTATATGCTAGGAGAGAAGAGAGGCAACCTCCCCCAACGCATATGCAGCCTGAAGATTGAGACTTAGACTAGGGAGTCAATTGATTTCAGATCTGGTCGGTCTGGCCGTTGGAACTTTACCTTCCTCTTCCCACCCCTTGCTTTTTACCTTTTGCTTACGTATGTTGTACTTATCTTTTGGGCTGTGGAGCGTTATTTTTGTTGGGTATAAAGAGGACCATGGAGTAGGTAAGTGTAAAGTGGTAAGTCTTGTCTTGTTTTTCTCAAGATTTATTTCTATTTGACATCGTTTCTTGATTCCCAGTACATTAGATTTGTATAGTGCCCGTGTCTGTGTGTCTGTTGCCATTCCCGTTCCCGTTCCTTGGTTTTTCTTGGTTCGGTTTTTTTGTTTCTTTTCTTTCTTCTTTTTTTTGGTTCTTTTCTTGTGTGGTCTGGGTTTGGGTTTGGGCCTGGGTTTGATTTGATGTTCGTGAATATGTACACCTGGGTTTCTTTCTCCCCTCTCCTCTATTAGTGGTTTTGGGTCCTGGTCGCTGTCCGAAAGTCTATTACTATATTTTATGAGTTCCTGATGTTGGTGTTGTGAATGAATGCAATACCCCTGACGCCGGTTCGCTGGAAACAGATACAAAGGAAATGGGTGGTAAAGGAGTGTGGTCATTTGTGAAGATTGAAGATTGAGGAAATTGGAGACGTTGAACGTGAGTATGTGTGGGTATGAGTCAAGGAGAATGAGAAAGGAGAGTCGAGTCGAGTCGAGGCGGATAAGTCGGTGAGTGAGTGGGTGTAGTTGAGAATTGAAAAAGAGAAAATGACTCATTAATAACTGGTGAAATAGTACGGGTTCGCACACCCCATATCCGCTGGCCCCGTCATCCCCATCACAGAGAGAGGTTGGGAGTGCTGTTGATGGCCCAGGTGAGGCTCACTGTAATACTTCAATGGATAGTGCGAGTCGATGGAGACAGTGGTTGGGGGTTCGTGCTGGAACATGTTCGTGTTGAACTCTAGGGGATATGAGCTCTCGCTTAGCCGGGTACGCTTCAACGTACTTAGAGAGGGTAAAGATGGTGGGAGACATGGGTCCCAGGTTGTGCTCACGCTGCTGGCGGACTTGGTGCTCGCTATGCTGTGCTTGGTTGTGTCGCTTGTCGGGGAGCTCCCTGTGGATGGGAAGACGGAGGTGTGGGATTCCATGTCTGGGACCTCTTTGCGGTAGACTGGGTTGAGTTCGGTTTTTATGGTCGAGCCTGGTGAGCTCATTGCTTGGGCTTCGGATATTTCGGGGAGGTTGACCCGGGATACGCAGACCACAGCTTGTCCGTCTGTTGGGGGTTAGTTGCTGGTTCTACTTAGAGGGGGAAGGGGTAGTACGTACCTGTCCTGCCGTCGAGGAAGGCTTCCTCTTCTTCGCGGACGCTGTATATCTCGTCCAGGACTTGCAGCCGCTCGCTAGGTAAGATCTGGCGGCGGATTGATTGGTCGGCTTCTCTTAGTTTGTCAACGCAAATTGCGTGACTGCTGCGTAGTTCGCAGAGAATGTGTACCAGGAGTCGGATTCTCTCGGCCTTAAGCAGATGGTCAGGCTCCCGATGGGTGACGCCCGATGGCCACCAAGCAGGCTTGGTAAGCTCGGGGTCAAATTGCTGCGAGGAGCCCGAGATGATCTTGCGCCCGTTGTACGGATAATTGACCTGCTTGCGGGGCTCGACAAGCTTGATATACGCCTTGGCAAGGATACGGCAGTTGATCTGCTGCAGGCTCTCGAATGCCTTCTCGTAGTATTTACGCAGGAGACCGTGGTTGCGGATCGGCAACATGGTTTTCTGGTGACAGTTGATGCTCATCGGGACCACGCACTCGTGAGATACCCGCTTTCTCTTGGCCTGGTGACCGTCCTGGTGCGTTTGAAACCTAATTTTGTCAGACGATCACTGGTTCTCAAGGAGGGTTCTACCACATACATTGAGTTTTTGCGGCTCAAGTTACTAGTGCCGGGTGATTGGGGCGACATGGGGCTTCTGCCCCCCATATGTTCTTGGTTCAATCTCGGAGATCCTGCATGCTCTGGTCAACTTGGACGCCCTTATAGGTCGTAAAAGAAGGCTTACCTATCACGCCGGGGTCACCCTTGTTCGACAATGCCACGGCTCTTAGGAACGAATCGGTTACATTAGGAGACAGAATCGACTGGCAGTTGCTCGCAATAGAAGGTGATGCTTCAAACCGAAGCTTGCCATTCTCGTCAATGTATATGAGAGCAAAATGAGCCGAGGACAGCGAGGAGAGTCCGTCCAGCGGCGCATCCATAGATATCGGTGTCTGGGCCTTAGTTAAGTCAGTCAATCAGGAACCTCTGAGGGAAAATGCAAGGGCAGGAGTGACAGTACCATGGTCTGTGGTTGCATTGACCTCTGTTCAAAGAAAGTTGGGGACTGGGGGTCGCCTAAATGTTAAATGTTAATACACCTGTTGCCAATCAGGTTGCTCGGGAGGAGGGCAGCAGCACATACGCGCAGAAGACATCTCTATTACCTAGGCACGAGAACCAGCATTACTTTTCTGAACGGTGCAGGAGAGACGATGTTGTTTTGCGGGGATCCACCGACAATAAGCTTACGGGATCTTCCTGAGCTGTAACCACTCTCACATCCTCCTTTGGTGATGCTGCGATGCGCTTTATATGCGTGGGACACGCTTCGTCGAGGGAGAGACGCCAGCACCAATCTTTGAAAAATAAAATAAGAAAATGAAATAAAATAAAATAAAATAAAATAAAATAAAATAAAATACCAAAAACTAAAATGGAAAAAAAGCAACTTTCGTAGGAGGGGTGAGAGTGTATCTACAGCGTAATGAAACCGTAGAAAATAAATTAAATCAGCCCAAAGCTGTGTCAGAGAAGGAATGTGCGTGGCCTTACTCCGTATGTGGCTCAGCATTCGATCCGCTCGCATGCATTGGGCTTTCGAACTAATGACTCTACTGCATTGTCCTGCTGCTCCCCCAATGATCGGCTGTCTGGATGGCGGAAAGTCTGGATCAATCGCGTTTGGATCATGTCTGCACTCTGCAGACTGTCATTCCATGCTAGGTTGTTCGCTTTAGATTTCAAGCCGGCTTTTTTTTCTTCACTACTATACTATTTTTGCTGCGCTCTCTCACGCTTTTGCCCTGTTTTTGGTATCTTCTTTAACCCCGTATAGCATCATCCTGGCTGTCACACGAGACAAAATCAAGATAGATTTCTTCATGATGCGGTCATGCAGTATGAGCCTTGTTTCAGCTCATCGAGCGTGGCAAACACTCGGCTGAGCTCGGCGTCTGGTCGAAAGCCACGAAAAGAATAGCTCATGGACTAGAAAAATCACCGAGACGCCTTATAGTCAATAATCTAGAGGAGCATACGATTCCCACCTGCACGGTTCGTAGCGAGGCCCAGAGCCATGGTCCCTGGTCCTTGGAGATCTTTTCCGGCCGGAGGGGTCCCAGCTGGAGGGATCATGGTGGTCACGATTCCCTCCCATGTTAGCTCATCTCTGTGGTTCTTGCTGTGATCTTCCTCGATAGAACTGAATAGCGTCGCTGTGGCCGGCCCTCAAACCCCCCTTGCCTCGCGCATCGGGTGTCAGGCATATGCATTTGCGCCACTAAGGTGTGGAGTCCCTGCTGACAAAATAGTATGGTAGAAAAAGTCAAAATGATTGAAGTTAGTGTAAAAAAAAGACTCCCCGGTGCCGATCTAGAAACGGCAATTTCCGTCGCAGGGTCCTGACAAAGGGGAATCGATGCAGACAAGTCAATAAGCCCCATACGTGTTCCACCAAATATCCACAGGGGAAAAGAGATGCAAGACGTATGCAAGACAATACAGATGACGTTGTGGGACGGTTTTCTTTCTTTCTTTTAGGCCCAACTATAGACCACCCTAATGTGTATGGGTGAGCCCATCGAACGATTGTAGTCCGGATTGACCAGGAAGCCTAAGTTAGCTAATATCATTGGTGTCGGATATCAGTTGCGGGGCCAGGGTTTTTCGAGCGAGTTCCAGCTCTTTGAATGGGTATTTTTTTTTTCTTTTTTTCCTTTTTTTTTCCCTTCGTAAAATAGAATAAAATAAATAAAATAGAAAATAAAAAAATCCTTCGGGCTAGCCTTTGGACAACTCAAGAGTCAACGCTTGGGAAAGTTTAGTGGGACTCCACATGGTAGGATGTCAAATTGTCACTATGACTCGCTTCAATGGGTAGGTAGATAGTGGGTTTTGGCGCTAATGAGAGCTCCCTTAGAGTCCCTCTTCTCTGGGGCATGATTTTGTCGCAGGAGGGGAAGTGGTCCTGCCTTCTCCTCGATTTTTGTTATTATAATTGACCCTCTTGGTGATCCAAGCTGTGGCAATAGTCAAATCCACTCTCCCATGGGTCCAGTTCCATCAGCTGAAGCTTTGGTGTAAGACAATTGAATTGAAAAATAAAAATTATAATAAAATGAAATAAAAAGCAGGAAACGAAGAAGAGGAAGTATACGATGGAACCTTATTGGCCATTGGTTCTCTGACTCTGGATGGCTGGATCCTGACGCTCAAACCCCACTCGAAGAATGATGAATCACTATCGGTAGTTGACACTCTGCTTCGAAGTCTCCACGCTGAGAATCGGTTGAATGAGTTAGTACATCCCTACTATGTTGGTACCTAAGCTTCAAAGTCGTTTCTTTGTTCTTGACTAGCGGCTTGGTGGAATTAGAGCTAGATTGGGGGTTAAGGATCTTCGTGAAGTAGGTACGCGGGATTCAAAACAACCTGCAGAGAAAGGATTAGGGTGTGGTGACAGCCTGCCCTAACCGTCCGAACTAGGCGTTCGGGACACCCAAAGCAATGGGTTGTCACGCGGCAACCATGGGAGAGTCAAATTAAAAAAGCATAAAATAGAACAGAACAGAAGAAAAAATTAAAAACGAAATAGAAAAAAAAATTAATTTGAAAAGAGACAATTAATCGAATCCTATTATTTTTCTTTCAGCGGCTGTGGCGTTCTCATCTGTCTGCCATTTCCAGGTGGCTCACCTGATGTGTCAGCGATAAATGGTATAGATGTGCATCGCGGATGTAGTAACTTTGTGATCTATATGACTCGTCCCACTGGACAATTGCGGGCCTAAAAATCGGTAGGGATTGAGCTAAGCTAGTGATTGTCGGAGCCTATCCCATTGGTACGTTATCTACTATCAAATTGGATCTAAAACGAAATAAATAGTAACTCACGCGTGAAGTGACATGCGCTGCTCAGTGGATAGATAGATGATCGATGGAAGCGAAGCGAGCTTCGAGAGTACCCATGGCGAGGACGAACACCCACTCGAGGATATGATCATCTGAATGACACTTTATTTGAAACTATTGTTGCATGGCGTGGATCACCGCTGGACAGGATCGCTAGTCACGTCGTTTCGAACGTACAGTATGTCTATCGTTCTGTTGTCATCTCCTGGTTCAGTTAACCCCATTCGCTAGTCTGACAGATTTCCTTTGGTAGGCAGCTCGGAAGATACGACCCGTACGGGCTAGCAGTACTCCATACGGCACCTCAAGGAGAATATTGCACCCTACAAAAATAGCTACGATGACCGGTGACAGACCAGTGGCATCGGAACCAAGTGCCTTTCAGTCCGCACGTACCCGTCCCAGAGTTACCCTTATCTCGACCTGATGTTGTTATCCTTCATTTTGATAGGAAGCTCTTATCCCAGCCCTGAACCATGTGGATAGCTATTTCAAATAGCGTTTTCCAGTACCATGGCCGTGTAGCTGGGGTCCGGGGGGGATCCTACGCAGCGCCACCGTCATGGATGCAGACTTCTATGAATTTATATTATCATGTACTTTTGACGCAGGAGTAGTTCGCTGCAGGCCAGTATCAGGAGGTTGGGACGAGGACGGGAGACGACGTACTTACCCGACAGGGAAAGACTGTCGGGTTTAAAGTTGTTCTAGATACGTGATAGAAATTATTGGTTTGCTAGTGTGATGGAGCTGGTTCGCGATCGTAGAAAAGTATCGAGAATTCTTTGCATTGGATTGATTATGTGGGATGGATGGTAGAGGTGATGTATCGACTTAACCATTGATTCCGATATATGATATCGTCTGGCAGGAAGGAGGTTTCGTTGAGGAACAGGTCTAGCTTGGACGGGTAGAAGGCAGCAACTATTGGATGCCTGAGGTAACTCCAGGCAGCCCTGGAGCATGACCCCGTTGTTCCCAATAGTACAGAACAGGCCACGATAAGAGATACCTGATTCCTCAGGCACGATACTCATCAGCTGCCTCGTACTTTTTCCGTCGCCATCACATTCCAACTTCACTCCCTCCTCAACTCCTTCCCTTCTCGAACTCAAGCGTCACCATCACCTGTCATACATATTCTTTATTTTCAAAAGAATCAGGTCTCCAAACAGTTTCACTACCGCCCGACGTTTCACCTTTTCCCAAACACGCCCCAAAGCTAAATCGGAACACCGATTATGGGGACTGGAATTGGTTCCTCTCCAATTGGACTCCACCGCCCAGAGAACCCGCTGCATTAGTTCGTCTCTCCGCAAAGGCTGATCAGCAAATCTCTTTTCACTCGTTGACTACTCGAGTCGATCGTGTTCCCTCAATCAATCTCTTGTTCTCCTTTTAAATTACTACTACCGACTTTTTCCCACCACGCCCCCCTTAACTTAGGACCATAGTAACACCATCACCGCCAATCATTCCGCGTCCTCGGTCCTTTTTCCATTACAACCCTTTTTTTTTTCCTTTTTATTTTCTTTTTCTTAAGTTTTCGGCGGATCGTTCCAGAAAACCTTGTGGAATCTGTTCAACGGCGCGATTCTTTGGCATCCCTTGAATTCCCGCGAGTCAGCGACTCTCATTCACAGTTCTCATTCAACCCGTCCCATTGTCGTCCGTGCGGTGACCGACTACAAAATTAATACCTTTTTTATTATTTTTTTATTATATATATTATTTTTCAATTTGTATTATTCTTGATTTTGTATTTTTCATTTTATTGAATTTTTTTTTATTTCCTGTTATTCGTTTTTTATTCGACAGACAGCCCCTGCCGTCCAACCACATTTCCACCCCCAAGAATCATGGATCCCAACGCGACCGGTTTCCCTATGTTGCAGCAGCAACAGCAACAGCAACACTTTCCGGTTACCTCCCAGAGTCCACAGCAGTTTCCTTTCTATCCGAACGCGATCCCTTCTTACCCCCAGCAAAAGGCTCCTGCCCATCTTCCACAGCAGCATTCCTTTGGTGCCATGCCGATGCAGGCAGGCGCCCCCGGTGGAGCTATGATGCCGGCGGGTTTCCCCCAACACTCTGGTACGTCGTACTTCCTCTTTCGATTTATTTTCTTTTTCTTTTTCCTTGGACTATACTTTATTGTCCTTTAAGGGTGGCTCTAGCTTGGCTTTTGTCTTCTTTACTTGGGGCCCCCATCGACCCTCTGTGCCACCCCCTTGGACAATGGTATGGATCGTTAGTTTCAAAGATTTACCGGTATATACACGATCCATTAGTGGCACATGGAGAGCTATACTTCTGGTCTGATGGGGATCTGCCATGGAACTATCGTTCGGAGCGATGTCCTCGGTTTTTGTTCTGTGCCTTGCGTCCTTTGAGCAACAACGTCGGTGACAAGCCGCTAACGGAATGTGTGATCTTCGCTTTTAGCAGCACCCCACGCCAACTTCTCTGCTCCCTTTGCCCAGCCACCTGTTCCCGCGACAATGAACCAATTTATGCCCCCGCAGACTGTAGCGACCTCGACACCCGCGTCGAACGTCCCGTCAACCACGGCGCCGTCCTTCCCTCAAAATATGGCTTCAATCTCGGCGAATAACCTGGTGCCCGCGCAGCCTCAAAGGCCCGCTCCACAGCAGAACCCTCAACAGGCGTCTGCGCCCCCGGTGACTCCATCGCCCGCAACGGCCCGAGAGAAAGCACGTGTGACCGTTCTGCTCGATATCAATTCAATGTTGTTGCAAGAGGTCGTGAATCTACAGGCAGCAGGCAAGGCCGGTGGTCCTCCAGCTCAGCCGCAGGACTCGAACCCGCCGTCGGATCAGACCCCTGACACCGCAAAGGGGCCAACCCAGAAGCCCAGTCAGGAGTACATCGATTGTATGCGTCGTCTGCAGGCCAATCTGGCATACCTGGCAACCATCGCCGACCGCGCCAAGAAATCTGGAGGAGTGCCTCCTACAGCACCAAGTATCATGACGCCGCCTCCACACATGCCGTCTATGAACGAAATGTATAAGAAGCTCGCTGGGCTGTTCCCACGCACGGCGCCAGGCACCGCCGGAACACCTCAGGGCAACGGCAAACCCAGCCCCTCTCCAGCTACTGAGACCGTTGTCTGAGTAAAGTCAATGTTTTTGGAATGAACCGATAATCCACACGTGCGCGCAGTCCCGATTGTCGAGAAATTGGGCGATTCCGGCTCAGTGCAGTGTTGGGGAACACCGCTCCATAGGCGCTATCTCTTCAGTTGAGATTCACATTCAACGCCACAGCTGGACCCCAACACACTCACAAAATTGTCTATGACCCGGAACTGTCCTTGCTAATGTGGCTTGCAAACCAATCCGCGGATGAATCCTGATGGAGCACACCTTGGCAAAGGTCGGATACCAAGGGTATATGAGAAATCTCTTCCGCAGGGAACTAATTGGGGAATGCCGTGTGCCCCCAGGTATGAAACTCGGAAGTCCACCTGTGGAACCAGCTAGGTTTTCTAATAAAATGTCCGGATCCAGGTAGGGATAAGGAACAATGAGTACAAGGATCATTTACTGGTTTTTGTGAAGTTAACTGTAAAAATGAATCGGTTTAATCCGTGCACAACATCAATGATACCATGTCAATGTGTACTAGTAGTAGTAAGTTGCTGTAGGGCTCTGGGGGTGAGGGACGATGCTTCTTCCCACCACCTGAAAGTTTGACAAACGTTGGGTTTGTGCTTAGACTTCCCTGTTTTCCTCCCTGACTGTTCCACCGACCATCTTAATATCAACGGTCAGAAGACATGGAAAGCTCCAAATCACTTGATCGTCTGCAGCCACCGCGGAGGGGGGAAATGGACCAATCAGGGGCCCGGATAAGGGCTTTCCGCCTGCCGGAGGTGCAACAGTGTTTCCAACCCAGCGGCAGTTCGCCTGACTTCTTTTTTTTCCACGCCGACCCCCAACCCTTCTCTTTGTCCTTTTATCCTTCCCTTTCTGAGACCGTCGGGGGGTCTTGTGAATGTCTCTCGCCTCGCTCCTGGTGTGCAGAAGGAGCTTGTCTGTCGCTACTACTTCTACGACTGCTGCTGTTACGGTTTCTTCATCCACTCCCGCCGCACCGCCGCCGCCTCCTTCTTCTTCTTCTTATTATTATTATCATTCTTATTCTACCTCTTCTACGGAGCGCCTTTCGACAGAGTTTGGTGGTTCGTTGACCGCATCTCGGTGGTCGCCAGTCCCGTTTTCTAGCGCTGTGTGGTCAATCTCTGGTCGTTCCCGCCGTCCGCTAGCACATCAGCTCCCGGGTCCCCAGCTCTGGTCATACGCCATAGCTCCCGCTCAGAGCATCCATCGTCACGAATTTGTCCGGTCGATCGCGTCGCTCGTGCCCTCTATTCGCCCTCGTTCGCGATCTAAGCATTCTTCGATTAAAGCCATGGATTTGAACGGAGATGCCGGCGCGAAACGCAAGCGCAGCTCTATCGTGCCCGCCGAGCGTCCGGCTAAACACCTCAAGCCCGAGAGCTCTGCATTAACCCCCGGGGACTCCACTCCGGCCAACGGGACCGTCTACGATATTGAGGATGAGGATGATGCGAGCCGTCTATTGCCCATTGGGCCCGCCCAGGCTGATTCGCCGGAGTGGCAAGCTACTATCGAGGAGGTTGTGAAAAGCGTGGTTTCCATTCACTTCTGTCAAACATGTTCTTTTGATACAGAATTATCGATGAGTAGTCAGGCTACCGGTTTTGTAGTCGATGCTGAGAAGGGGTATATCTTGACTAATCGACATGTGGTCTGCCCCGGTCCCTTTTGGGGTTATTGTATCTTTGACAATCATGAGGAAGTAAGTTTAGCCATAGGCCGGCCAAACTCTCGGGGAAGCTGTATGACCGGGTATATTACCGTAGTCGATGCTGATAATGGGCTTTCCTTAGTGCGATGTCCGTCCCGTGTATCGAGACCCTGTACACGACTTTGGTATCCTTAAATTCGACCCGAAAGCTATCCGATATATGAATCTAACGGAACTCAAGCTCCAGCCCGACGCTGCGCGGGTAGGTTCGGAGATCCGGGTCGTTGGTAATGATGCAGGAGAAAAATTGAGTATCTTGTCGGGCGTTATCAGTCGACTGGATAGAAATGCGCCAGAATACGGCGAAGGCTACAGCGACTTCAATACGAACTACATCCAGGCCGCTGCAGCTGCCAGCGGCGGTAGTTCTGGTAGTCCGGTCGTGAATATCGACGGTCATGCGATTGCGCTACAGGCCGGTGGCCGTGCAGACGGGGCTGCAACGGACTACTTCCTTCCATTGGATCGTCCGCTGCGTGCGTTGGAATGCATACGCCGGGGCGAGCCTGTCAGTAGAGGTACCATCCAGACCCAGTGGATCCTGAAACCTTTTGACGAGTGTCGCCGTTTGGGCCTGACACCAGAGTGGGAAGCCACCGTGCGCAAAGCGGCCCCCACAGAGACCAGCATGCTGGTGGCAGAAATCATCTTGCCTGAGGGACCCGCTGATGGAAAACTAGAGGAGGGGGACGTGCTCCTGAAGGTCAATGGTGAGCTTCTGACACAGTTTATCCGGTTGGACGATATCCTGGACTCGAGCGTTGGGCAGACAGTGCGTCTGCTCGTGCAAAGAGGCGGTCAAGATGTGGAGATCGAATGCCAAGTGGGCGACCTGCATGCCATCACGCCTGATCGCTTCGTGACCGTAGCCGGCGGCACGTTCCATGACTTGTCCTATCAGCAATCGCGACTGTACGCTATTGCCACACGCGGTGTATACGTCTGCGAAGCGGCCGGTTCCTTCAAGCTGGAAAACACTCTTTCCGGATGGCTCATCGATTCCGTGGACAAACGGCCGACGCGAAACCTGGATGAGTTTGTGGAGGTCATGAAGACCATCCCCGACCGCTCGCGAGTGGTCATCTCTTATCGGCATATCCGGGACCTCCACACGCGGGGCACAAGCATCGTCTATATCGACCGCCATTGGCACCCCAAGATGCGATTGGCGGTGCGCAATGACGAGACCGGTCTTTGGGACTTCTCCGATCTGGCGGATCCCCTCCCGGCCCTTCCCCCCGTACCCAGAAAGGCCGACTTCATCCAACTGGATGGTGTGAGTCAGCCTGCAGCCTCAGAGATCGTGCGCAGCTTTGTGCGTGTGTCCTGCACCATGCCCTTGAAGCTGGACGGTTACCCCCAGGCCAAGAAGACTGGATTTGGGCTCGTCGTGGATGCGGAAAAGGGGTTGGTTGTCGTATCGCGAGCCATTGTCCCGTACGACCTCTGCGATATCAATATTACCGTGGCCGACTCGATCATCGTCAATGCCAAGGTCGTATTTTTGCATCCACTGCAGAACTACACCATCATTCAGTATGATCCCAGTCTGGTGCAGGCCCCCGTGCAGAGCGCCAAGCTCAGTACGGAGTACATCAAGCAGGGCCAAGACACCATTTTCGTCGGATTTAACCAGAATTTCCGCATTGTAGTGGCCAAGACAGCTGTCACTGACATCACGACTGTGTCAATCCCAGCAAATGCCTCTGCACCACGTTACCGGGCCATCAACCTGGATGCTGTCACGGTGGACACTGGCCTGAGTGGACAGTGCTCCAACGGCGTTCTGATTGGTGAAGACGGAGTCGTTCAGGCATTATGGTTGAACTATCTGGGAGAGCGCACCCCCAGCTCGCATAAGGATGTGGAATATCACCTCGGATTCGCGACCCCGTCGCTGCTACCGGTCGTGTCCCAGATCCAGCAGGGCGTGATGCCCGAGCTGCGGATCCTGAACATGGAGAGCTACGTAGTCCAGATGAGCCAGGCCCGCATTATGGGTGTGTCAGAGGAATGGATCGAGAAGGTGACGCAGGCCAATCCATCGCGGCACCAGCTGTTCATGGTACGCAAGGTCGACTGCCCACCCTCTGGTTTCGACAACACGGCCGACACCTTCCAGGAGGGCGATATTATCCTCACCCTGGATGGTCAGCTGATCACGCGCGTTTCCGAACTCGACGTGATGTACGACAAGGAGTTCTTGGAGGCTCTGGTCGTCCGGAATGGACAAGAAATGAGCATCCAGGTGCCCACCGTACCAACGGCGGATCTTGAAACAGACCGAGCGGTTGTCTTCTGTGGTGCCGTTTTGCAGAAGCCGCACCACGCTGTCCGCCAGCAGATCTCCAAGCTGCACAGCGAGATTTATGTGAGCGCAAGAGTATGTATTTCTTCTGTCTTATTTTATTTTTATTTTTTTTTCTCCCTTCCCCCTTGGTGGAAATAGTTGGTGGCTAACCTATCAATAGAGCCGTGGTTCTCCTTCGTATCAGTACGGACTTTCTCCGACCAACTTCATCACCGCCGTCAACGGAGTACCGACCCCGGACCTTGACAGTTTCGTGAAGGAAGTGAGCAAGATTCCTGACAACACGTATTTCCGACTACGGGCGGTCACATTCGACAATGTCCCCTGGGTGGTGACTATGAAGAAGAACGATCACTATGTGAGTTTAATCCATGTTTCATAGGCCTGGCATGAAGCTGATTGCGTTAGTTCCCTATGTCTGAGTATCTCAAGGACCCCTCTCAGCCGTGCGGCTGGAGGACGGTTTCTCATAATAAATCCAAACACAAGGATGGCATTACGCCGGACGTGGCCAATCTCAACCCGGACGCCATGGAACAGGGGTATGACGGGGCCAGCGACATTGAACCGGAGGCGGAGTAAAGTAGCGGCTTGTGTATAATAGACCTGGTTGTATGTACCACAGATGTACAGTGCGTGACTAATATATCCAAAATGATGACTTGATGACTGTAATAGTAGTTATCCTTGATTTATACATAGAAGCTGATATTGGCAATGCTATCATCAGACTGAATGGCAGCTTAGAGAAGGTATCTCTACCCCAATAACCCTACCACATTCAACCCTCTATCTATAAATCAACCCCAACAAAGGCCCAACCCTATAATCCCCCAGAGCCTTCCCACACTCCCCATCCCACTGCCCCAAAACCACCCTCGCAATCCTCCTCCCCCATCGCCCTCATGCTCACCTGATCCCCCGTCAAATCCATCGCACAAAGCCCCGGATCCGCCCCAAACACCTTAAACCCTTTCCCCCCCCCCCCC